TTGGTCGTTTGTCAATACATTTAGTTGTTAGCCGTGGTAGTCGTCCGCGGCGTCGTCGTTTTCGTCGCCGTCGTTGCGGTAGTCCTAGTTGTTGTTTGTTGTAGCAATACAAGCAAGCAGCAGTAGCCGTTTCGGGAGGAGTAGCAGTTGCACTCCTCGTCGTCGTCATGGTTGTCGTCGTCGTCATTGGCGGAAGCGCATGTTTGCTAGCAGCTAGCACGGTTCCTAAGATGATACTTTAACCACGTTTACCATCATTTCCAGGGGTCAGTAGTTGCTGAAGAACACATATCGGAAAGTGGACCCTCGTTTAAGTCGCTACCGGCCTGTGTTTCGTCGTGCTTTCAACCATCCTCCTTGCCAGCATCATCATTGTTGCTGTCAGAAACGAAGACGGCTGCATGGCGTTACGCGGCACCGACTCTGATACCTTTGCTGTTTCCGATGCCCATGGGCCATTTGTGCTAGGTGGATCGGCAGTGCTGGAAGCTACATGCAGCTGAAGTGAACAAAAACACTTTAACGGATGGTAAGCATCTTGGGTCACGGCGCGGGAGAATCGCGACAGGTAAATACTTGCGGATAGCGCACGCATCTCGAAGCAACCTGCGGTGTTTTTTAAGACGTTGTCGTGTCGTGTGAATCAGTGTGAACCTCCCCAACCAAAGCAACTGTGAAGCCCAATCGGCACCCGACACCCGGTATGAAGGGGCTCTCTTCTGGTGGCTCTACGAAGATGGAGAAGGCGCGCCTATATGTGAGAGAAGAAGCCCCTGATGGGTATTTATTTCGCATTCCGACTTCTTGCCGTAGCACCAATTCATGCCATTCGGTATCTTCTCTACAGTGCCGTCTTGTAAAGGATTGCGGATTCGCATGTGTTTACAATTAGTCAACATGGACTTATGAGCATATAGCATTTGGAACCACTGAAGAACTACACGATTGTCGTTCAACATAATGGACACGCTCCACATATCACCAGGCCAGGTTTCTTACTATGTACGGTTTACAGAGCCAGCTCGTCCCTCCCTCCCTCTCCTTGCCTCCTTTCCCCCTCCCTTTCTGGCCTCCTTGGCCGAGACAAGAGCTTGGTCTGACATTGTCTGTACCTGCATGTCATTATGTCTGTACCCTTAAGCCCCAGAGAAAG